GTTTTGAAAAACATAAAATGTTGTGTATGTATAAAGTATTTTATAATTTTTATTACTATTAAAAAGCTACAAAGCGGGAACTACGAACATTGCTGTCTTTATTCCCTCTGATTTGTAAATTCCTGCCAAGTTTGCATAAATCCAAATTCGTTTCAAACACATTTGGCAACAACCATTTAGATGGTAGTATGAAAATTCAATATATTCACACCTTTCTCTCACTTTGCAGTAATACACATCAGTGTTTTTAAAGGCTATAGGGGTTAGTTCAAAGTAATGAAGTTTTACTCTAAAGTTGTTTATACAGTTTTCTATGATTAAACAGTTGTCAAACCTGTGTATAGGAAAAACGATAGGCCGGGAGCAGTGGCTCACGCCTGTAATCCCAGCACTTTGGGAGGCCGAGGTGGGTGGATCACTTGAGGTCAGGAGTTCAAGACCAGCTTGGCCAACATGGTGAAACCCTGTCTCTACTGGAAAAAAAAAAAAAAAAATTAGCCAGGCATGTTGGTGTACGTCTGTAGTCCCAGCTACTCAGGAGGCTGAAGTGGGAAAATCACTTGAACTCAGGAGGTGGAGGTTGCAGTGAGCCAAGATTGTGGCACTGCACTCCAGCCTGGGTAACAGAACGAGACTCCATCTCAAAAATAAAATAATAAAATAAAATAAAAGCCTAACAAACAGAAAAATAAACGACTTGATATAGAAGATGAGTGAGTCATAATAACATAAAGCCCTATCATAACACAGTCTACTGTTTTTATCATAAAGTTTAGATAACTTCTGGATGAAAAATGTATGTCTCCAAATGTAACAGCTGCTCACAGGCAAAGGCTGATGAACCTGCTGAGACTACAAGGAATGTGCTCATCTTATCCCTCCAATGCTAATATCATAAATAAATGGGTCTCTATTATGTAATAAGAACCTGTAATGAATGATGGACTGACACTGCAGAATATTAATTGCAGTGGGAGGCAAACATGTTTTCCCTGTGACTTTGAGACCGTAATTTCTCTTAGCTTGGGTCTCCGTTTCCCCATCTGTACTTGGGATGGAGCGAACTGTCAACTCCAAGGGCCTCCCAGCACCAGCATTCTTTGTTCTGATGGCTTTGATTTGACTTGGAAGCTTTAGTGCCACCTGAAGCCAGGTGATAAGGACACATGAGCACACCTGGCAGAGACAAGTTCTGTGTCCCAAAGTGATGCAGCAGATCTGGGGTTTGGGATACCTGTTCCAAATCCAAATCCAACCTCTCCGTTGGGCTTATATCCTCTCTGCTAAAGGGGACTCATTATCCCAGAGTGGGAGGCTCTGTCCCGGTTTCCCCATGGTTCAGAGGGCTGGCCTGCACTTTCTTTCTGTGGTTGTCTAGCCATCTCCCCACCATGTCAGCACCAGCCCAGAGCCAGCACAGCAGATGACTCCCAAGTGTTTGTTGAAGACTGACTTGTGGTTTCATAATTTATTACTTTTAAAATTTCTCCTTCTAGACTTGCAAGCACTCTATTTATTTGTTTATTTATTTATTTATTTATGAGGGAGTCTTGCTCTGATGCCCAGGCTAGAGTGCAATGGCACAATCTCAGCTCACCCGCCACCTGTCTCCCAGGTTCAAGTGATTCTTTGGCTTCAGCCTCTTCAGTAGTTGGGATTACAGGCATGCGCCACCATGCCCGGCTAATTTTTGTATTTTTAGTAGAGATGGGATTTTACCTTGTTGGCCAGACTGGTCTCGAACTCCTGACCTCAGGTAATTCACCTGCCTCAGCCTCCCAAAGTGATGGGATTACAAGCGTGAGCTACCGCACCTGGCTGCAAGCACTTTAAAAACAGGGCCCTCATCAAATTCATCTCTCTCGGTCTATGGCCCCTTGTCCACCGACAAGGCCCAGCACATAGTGGGAGCTCAATAGATGGGAATACACATGTTTTGAGTAAGCTGGAATGATGCCAATACTCATTTTGCTAAGATGGATATTCTTGCTCATGAGGAATCCCAGAGGCCACCCGAGATCAATCTCAGTATATGCCCTCTGCCTATCGGTGAGAGGAACGAGGATGCAACTTGTGCTGTCTGGGGAAGGCGATGACAATAGCTGGAAACTGTCAAGTCCCAGAAACTCTTCTCATTCTTGGCTGAAGACAACATCTTTCACGACCTCAGGCTTTTCTTGCTTTGCAGTCTTTTTAAAATGGCATTTGGGACCAGGTGCAGTGGCTCACACCGGTAATCCCAGCCCTTTGGGAGGCCAGCAGGTAGATCACGAGGTCAGGAGATCGACACCATCCTGGCCAACATGGTGAAACCCTGTCTCTTCTAAAAATACAAAAAATTAGCCAGACATGGTGGTGGGCACCTGTAGTCCCAGCTATTCGGGAGGTTGAGGCAGGGGAATAGCTTGAACCCAGGAGGTGGAAGTTGCAGTGAGCCGAGATTGCGCCACTGCACTCCAGCCTGGTGACAGAGCAAGACTCCGTCTCAAAAAAAAAAAAAAAAAAAAAAGGCATTTGGAATATACCCTAATCTTATGACTCAGAAATGAATAATATTATGAGACTGTTCATAGCAGCTATATTCATAATATCCTCAAACTGGAAACAACTTAAATACGCATCAGCAGGAGAATGAGTGGATGAACTGTGTTACAATCCTCCTAGGGAATGCTACTCAGCAATAAAAATGAGCAAATAATGTGGATGAATCTCAAAAGCATCATCTAAATAAAAGGAACCAGACGCAAAAGAGTACATTCTCCCATTTAAAGGTAGTTCTAAAAACAGACAGAACTAATTGAGAGTGATAGAAATCAGAACAGCGACTGCCAGCTAGGTCTAGTGGCTCATCCCTGGAATCTCAGCACTTTGGAAGGCTGAGGTGGGAGGATTGCTTAAGGCCAACAGTTAGAGACCCCATCTCTACAAAAAATACCAACAAACTAGGTGGTGTGGTGGTACACACCTATAGTCCTAGCTACTTGGGAGGCTGAGGCAGGAAGATCACTTGACCCCAGGAATTCCAGGTTGCAGTGAGCTATGATCCTGATATTGCACTTCAGCCTGGGGAACAGAGTGAGAATCTGTCTCTTAAAAAAAAGAGCCATAATTGCCTAGGAGGTCGAGTGGGATATGATGGGCTGACTGGAAGGGGGCACAAGGGAACTTTCAGGGGTAGCACAAATTTTCTACATCTTGACTTGGGTGGTGGACACAAAACTTACTGTTTGTTAAATTAATCCTCAAATTTAAAAAACCCACAGTATTTGGAGCTGAGGTTTACCAGCCTCTCAATGGCCGGCTGTCTCCTGGATCAGACACCAGGAGAGGCAGCTGTGATTCGTGCAGCTGTGGCCACGCTTCTAATTTCCTCACATCTGCAGGGGCAGCCCCAGCACGTGGCCCATTGTTCATCCAGGCACTTTGCTGGCACTTGGTGAACGCCGGTCTCTCCCTGGGCTCTGTCCCGGGACCCACAGCAAACTCTCATCCTTCTTCCGGTTGGCACTTCTTCAGCTCCCAAGTCCTCTCTGTGTTTTCTCTTCTCCAGGTAAATCCCTGGGTTTTCCATCCAGGCTTCACTGGATGTGGTTTCCAAACCCTTCTTCCTTGTAGTTTCCCTCCCCTGGATATGCTCCAGCTGCCCAGGGCCCATTTCAAGGATTTCTTGAACACTTTCGCTGATGAACTTGACTTCTACCTTCAAAGCGATTTTAAACGGAGGAGGTAGACTGTGAGCCTTTGTCTAGCCCATCAGATTAAATTTTATATTTTCAAATAGTGAAGAGACATGAAAATGTAGTGGGAATTCCACAAAGGCCCCTGCAAATGACTGACATACATTTGGGCAGACAACGTCTTTGTGCGGTGCCAGGGGGCTGATGCATTAATGGATATAATTTGTAGGCTCCCAAGGAGAGGTTAAAGAGGAGAGCACAGGTTCCTTTGAGTCGACTTGGTGCTCCCATGTCATCTGTCCCCAGACTTAATCAAGTTATCATATCAACCCAGTGTTTCCTGGACCCCAGCTCTCTGTCTGAATGAGGAAAAAATTTGCAGACAAATTTCTAGCAGCAGGAAGTTGGTGCTCTCCTGCGAGGCTGGATAAAAACTACGTGTAACCTCTCAAGGCCTCCCTCCCGCTCCTGCTGAGAGTTCAGTTCAAGTGGTTCCCTTATTTGATTACGCCTCTCAGGCCTTCTCTGGTGTAGGTATCCAATTCACTGCCATGCCCACCGGCTCCCCACAAGGCAGCAAACATTAGAGTCACTCTTTTGTGAAATTATGGGGAGGCTGAGTGGGCCAAGCACTTGTGTGTGTGCGCGCATATGTGTGTGCATGTACGCCTGTGTGTGAGGAGACACACAGATGTGTATAAAGAGAGGAATGCCGTCTGTCAGCAAATGTGGCATTGATTTATAATCACTTCCTTTAGTCACAGAATAACCGAGTGCCATCTTTAAATTCTCACGATTAAAAAAAAAGAGACAGTGAAAAAAAATCCTAAGTGCTAAATATCTATGTATTATGTATTATTATTCTTAAGAGCTTGCAAAAGCCTTATAGCATGTATGATTTATAATTAATGGACCTAATTCTTCTAATACAGGTTTCTTCCTTCCACGACTATATAATTCAAGTTATACTGCTAAATATTTTATAATGAGAGTAGAAATTATGATGGCCTTTGTAACTGTTTTACAAAGAGCATTTATTATTGGGCTGATGTTGATGGGTTAGTAGATTTGTGCATATTTGTCTCTCTTATTCTTTACTTTATGAGTGGACAAGAAGTGTAGGAATGAGTGCTGTGAACATGTGGCCACTCTAGATTTTTCTCAAAAATATAAAAAGCATACATTTATTTCCCAGCACAATCACAAAAGAAAGAAAGAAAGAAACAAAAGGTAAATCTTTGCAAGGCAATGTTTTGTATTCATTTTCAGGCAATGTCAACGTAATCGAGGAAAATAATAGCAACGTGTGTTTTTCATCTGCAGGTGCGGAAGACGTACTTAAAACCTGGGAGTCCAGAACAGGAGAGGCGCTCTCAGATCAGCCCCAGTGTTCTGCAGCGCGCAGGAGCCAGTCGTGCTGCAAAGAATGAAACTGGACTTGTCCAGGCGAGTTTTGGACAGTGCTGGGCTGGTAAGAAACGGAGTCACCATTCATCTATTCATTCCCAGAAAAGAAGGGAAATACACCCTCCCCAGCTCAAGATGCCCATTGATTTATCCCCTTTAGCTGGCAAGACGCTCGAGCCCCAGTGTCTTCGGGCTCCTGAGCGTTTTTGTTGAGAGAAGAGCGTCCCTCCCAGGTTCCCACCGGGGCTTGGAAGTCAGGGGAGCCGGGAGGGGCGGCGGGGGCCGGGGCAAGAAGCGGGGCGGCTTTTATTTGGCGCCATAAAGGGCTGCACAATGTCTGCTGGAATTTCAACAGTTAAAGAGACCCCTCTGCACAAAGGGGCGCCCCGGCTGCAATCGGGAAATAAATTTGATTTTCTGAATTCTTGGGCAGCTGGTGACAAAGGGCCAGGTAGCGCCGCGGCGGGGGTGATCCTTGCAGAAGGCGGCGCGCGGCGGGGCGTGCGGGCCGGGGGGACAAAGGCAGGCCCGGGCCAGGGGGCTCCGCGCAGCCGCTCGTCTGAGCCCGGGGCCGGGGCGGCTGCTGTGCGCGGCGTGGGGCAGAGTCTCGGGCTTTCCCGGCCCGACCGTCGGCTCCAGCGCCGCCCCCGCGGCCGCCCTCGCTGCCGCCCTCGCTGCTCAGGGCCCTGAGGCCAGGACACCGCCCGACGCTTGGCCCTGTCCCAAACCTGGGACTCCAGGGGCCTCCCGCTGGGGCCGCGCACACCGGACTTTCAGAGCTGAAATCACTTCATCAAGAAATGCCAGTGAACCCTTGCCCAGCTCCGCCTCTTGCTGGTCACCAGGGATGACCCTCTCTGTGAAGTTTACCCAAATCCCCCCGGCTCCATGAACCCAGTGTGCCCCCTTGCCTTTGTTTATCAGGTGCCATTTTGTCATTTAATACGTCTTACATGCCTGTCCTTTAAGTTCTTCTTGTGCAGAGGGGGATGTCCTTTAATGACAAAGCAGGTGTTGGGGGGACGGGATCCCCGGGGGAAATGACACTACCTGCTTGGTCTCTAAGGGCAGGAATTCATCATTCAAAAGCACCCAGCGCTGCCCTCCTCACTCCCCAGCCCTGCTCTGATTTCCCGGGTGTCTTCACCTACTCTGACTCCAAAATCGGCTGCTGCACCAGCACCCATCAAACTCTCCTGTAACGGGAAGTGACAGCTCACCGGTAGCCCGGAAGACCCCTGTGGGCAGAAGCATGGACTTCCTCTTCCTCACGGAGATGCGGCTGAAGCAGATTTCCTTGGCACCACTCTGGAACTTTCCACAGTCACCACCTCAGACACTAGCCAGACTTTAGGTCCTTTCCTTTCATGTCTAAAATGAGACAGTTCACAATGTTGATTTTATTTGTAGGGGGTGTCAGGATTCCAGAAAAGCAGACTTGGAAAGCAACAAAATGTTAGCGTGCAGCTCACTGAGGCCCTTACACTTGGTCTGGGCACCTCTGTATGTAAAAAGAAGTCCAATATCTTTGCTGGTTGTAGGTGGCCATATGTTTCAGCACAGAAATCGGGCTCCCCTTGCTAGACTAATTTTTCCTCAGGCTTCATTCATTCATATTCTTCTGCTTGATCCTATCAGGACCAACAGTACCAAATAACACCAAGTCTCTTGCCTCGTGTCCTCAGAATGTCTCAGAGGCATCCGCTTCCCTGCTGGAGCCATTTCATTTCAGTGATCCTTAATTAAATTCAGCGAGATGCAGGACCTGTGTGTGTGAACGACAACCTGTGTGTGTGAGTGTGGACCTGTGTGTGTGTGAACGTGGACCTGTGTGAGTATGGACTTGTGTGTGTGAACGTGGACCTGTGTGTGTGAATGTGTGTGAACGACAACCTGTGTGTGTGTGAGTGTGGACCTGTGTGTGTGTGAACGTGGACCTGTGTGAGTATGGACTTGTGTGTGTGAACGTGACTCTGTGTGTGTGAATGTGGATCTGTGTCTGTGAGTGTGGATCCATGTGTGAGTGTGGACTCAGTGTGTAAGTGTGGATTTGTGTGTGAGGTGGGCCTGTGTGTGAGTGTGGATCTGTGTGTGTGAACGTGACCTGTGAGTGTGGACTGTGTGTGTGAACGTGGACCTGTGTGTGTGAGTGTGACCTGTGTGTGTGAACATGGACCGTGAGTATGGATCTGTGTATGTGGACCTGTGTGTGTGAGCGTGATCTGTGTGTGAACGTGACCTATGTGAGTGTGGACCTGTGTGTGTGTGTGTGTGTGTGTGTGTGTGTGTGTGTGAGAGTGGGTCTGTGTCTGTGAGTGTGGACCTGTGTGTGTGTGAGTGTGGACCTGTGTGAGTGTGGATCTGTGTGTGAGGCCTGTGTGTGTGTGGCTCTGTGTGTGTGAACGTGACCTCTGTGTCTGTAGGGGGCGGTATGAGTGTGGATCTGTGTGTGGAGTGTGGGATGTGTGTGTGTGGATCTGTGTGTGTGTGTGGGCCTGTGTGTGTGTGGGAGTGTGGATCTGTGTGTGTGAGTGTGGATGTGTGTGTGTGTGTGGATCTGTGTGTGTGTGTGTGTGTGGGCCTGTGTGTGTGAACGTGGACCTGTGTGAGTGTGGACTTGTGTGTGTGAACGTGACCTGTGTGTGTGAGTGTGATCTGTGTGTGTGAACGTGACCTGTGTGTGAGCGTGATCTGTGTACGCACCTGCGGGGAGCGTGATCTGTGTACGTGGACCTGTGTGTGTGAGCGCGGATCTGTGTGTGAACGTGGACCTATGTGTGAGTGTGGATCTGTGTGTGTGAGTGTGGATCTGTGTGTGTGTGAGAGTGGGTCTGTGTCTGTAGAGTGTGGACCTGTGTGAGTGTGACCTGTGTGAGTGTGGATCTGTGCAGTGGTGGCCTGTGTGTGTGTGTGGCTCTGTGTGTGAACGTGACCTCTGTGTGTGTGTGTGGGGCGTGCGTGTGAGTGTGGATCTGTGTGTGAGTGTGGATGTGTGTGTGTGTGTATCTGTGTGTGTGTGTGTGTGTGTGTGGGCCTGTGTGTGTGTGAGTGTGGATCTGTGTGTGTGAGTGTGGTTGTGTGTGTGTGAACGTGGACCTGTATGTGTGAGTGTGGATCTGTATGTGTGAATGTGGACCTGTTCGTGTGAGTGTGGCTCTGTGTGTGTGAATGTGGACCTGTGTGTGTGAACGTGGAGCTGTGTGTGTGAACGTGGTGTTTACAATCAGCAGGAAGAAGCCTGGAAATGAGTCCTGATTAAATGAGAATTTAAATACAGAACACGTACCCTAGGAGTTCTAGAAAGATGAATAATTCTCAACCCAGCACAGTAACAGTTTACAATGTGTTTGTGTGTGTCATAATGGAGTAGGTTTTGTTACATGTGTAATGCTGATATCATAAGAAGAGTATTGTCAAGCTCACAGGATGTCAAGTACAGAAGGTTCTAACTGTTTTGTTGTGTTACTTATCTATTGCTGCATAACAAATTACCACAAACTTAGTACTTTTAAACAGCACATTTATTATTTCCCAGTTCCTGTGGGTCGGGAGTCCAGGCACAGTTTAATTGATTCCTCTGTTTTAGGTTCTCTTACAATGCTTGTATCCAGGAGTCAGTCAGGGCTGGGGGTCTCATCTGCAGCTTGACTGGGGAAGGCTCTGCTTCCAAACTCATGTGGTTGTTGACAGAATTCAGTTCCTTGAGGGTTGTTGGCCTGAGGGCCTCAGCTCCTTGTGGGCCCTCAGCCAGAGGCCACCCTCAGTTCCTCTCCAGGACCTCTCTCTATGGCAGCTTACTCCATCAAAACCAGCAAGGGAGACAGTTGACAGCAATAGTCAGCTGGTAAGATGGGCGTTCAGGTCTGCTGGAATATATTAATATAATGACACGGACTTCGCCACCATTGCCATATTCTGTTGGTTAGAAACAAGTCACAGGTGCTGCCCACACTGGAGGGAAGGGATCCCACAAGGGTGGATACACCAGGGAGCGAGGACCATGGAGCCTCCTGGGAGTCTGTCTCCCCTATTCACTTCACCCGCAAGTAAACTGAGCCCCCAAATTCGGGTGTGCCTTGGCCACAATCTCAGAGAGTTAGTTTAGTGGCTAGACTCAAATCTAGGACAATTATTCTAAGTCTTGTGCTCTTTCCTCTGTAACATGCCTCCATGATACAAGTTTCAAATAGGTGAAGCCTTTGGTTCTGAAAAGCAGCCCATAGTCTCTACCCAGCAGTCGTCGCTGCTCAGGTGAACTGCCACCCCAACCACGAAGTCACTGTGGTCCTTCACTGAGGAACTCAAGGAACCGCTGCACCCTGGGCCCCATAAAATATTCCTAAGCCAAAATGGTGGAAAAGATTCCTTTCCCAGATCAATTAAATCAGAAAATTTTAAGAACCTGAGGGTTTGCTTAGTCTCTTACTCCCACCCTCTTAACAAGTGAGAAACCCGAGGTCTAGAAGTGAGAAATGTTTTATTCGAGCTCACCATGATGACAAAGCCTTATTCTCTTTCTTTTCCACAAATTTCAAGCAATCACAGAGAATGGATTGGCTTGCATAGCCAACACAGGAAGGGCTGACCAAACGGGACACCTGGAGCCAGGACTCAGAGGCCCTCAGGGTCACCCCTGCCCCATCTCTCCTTGCAGGCTGCAGTTTTCAGTCTCCAGCTGACACTGAGACTCCAGGGTCTGAGACCAAAAGGAAAACAATCAAACAAGCAACAGTTCTGATCCCAACAGACCAAGTTGCCTCTTTTAGGAAAACTCTGCTCAGATCATGAATTCTGGACATGCAATGGCTGTTAAAATAGTTCATGCCCAAGAGTCCACCCTTCACTGACAGAGACAGCTTTGTGTAATACGACTGTAGCTTCGTCACTGCAATTTAGGTAAGATTACAATTCCCATCTCAAGAGGTGGAAGTGAAGTCTAATTTTCCACAAGGAGCATGTGTGCATGTGGATGTGTGTGTTTTTCTTTTTCTCTGGGTCCAAGTCTTTATCTTGCTAAATCTCTTGCACCTCCTCCCTGCCTGTCTGCACTGGAGATACAAACTGGCATTTTCCGGCCTCAGGCCACTGCATTTGGCCAAACATTCTCCCATCGAAGTTATGAACAAAATTTCCTCCTCCATTTGGGCTCTTCTGAAAGAGACCTCTGGCTGCATTCACCGTCCACTGTCCTCAGAGAATAACTGCAGGAGCAAATGAAACCAGATATAATGAGTTCTGTGCCTGTTCATCTTGAGTTTCAATGAACTTATCTCTTTGCTGACTTTGAAGAGCTGAAATCACTCCATGTGCTGGGGGTAGTTTAGAGAATATGAAGAATTCGATCCTTGGATGGGCTAAATAGTTGTGATCCTGAGCTTCTTTTGAGTTGTTTCTCCTTAGCTGAAATGGACTTTCTGAAGGCACTTGTTTTCAAGAGAAATCAGAAATACGCTTCAGAAAAATAACCATCAAATCATTTTGGAAGAAATAAGATAAAAACATTTATTTTAGCAACAAGATAACGTCTTCTGGGATTCATAACTAATTTGGTGGAAGTTTTTCTATTTTAAATAAAATCCACATCAGTATTAGAAGAATGTGGATTGATTTTCAGTGCCATTTAGGGCCACCAACCTCAGCATTTGCCGAATGTGGACTCAAGGACTCCGTCTCTTTGCACATGCTGCTTCCTGTTCTTGGAGAAGCTTCTACCTCCTCTTTCCGACAAACTTCTTCCTACTCACCTAGCAGGGTCCAGCTGCACACCCCCTCTTCCGTGAGGCCTGCTGGCGCTCCCACTTCCCCAGCTTCTCCTCAGTGTGCACAGGGGCGGGCACTCTCCTCTTTGGACGCTCGCAGCCTCTTTTCATACTTCTATCTAGGGCTTTGCTATATTTGTCCGGGGAGGCTGTGATCAACATGGGAACAGGGGTTTGGTTTTGTTCATTTTCGTTTTCGCAGGACTTGGAGGACTCACACAGCTCATAATGGCACAGGCTTGATGGATGGATGAATTGGGAAATCACTTTGAGGAAAATCTCTTTGATTGGTATATTTGATTCCTAGTTAACAAACTACCTACTAGCATTCCTGTGTATATGGCTCCCAGATATCTAACAGCATTGAAATGAAATGAAACTGCTTTGTGCAAAGATGTGCTTTACAGAAGATAAAGACTGCCAGGTAGAAATGGAGCATATGAGTCACTGCACTCTTGGCAATCGAAAGGAAATTATGTCCCTTATACTGCACATTGCTAATCCTGTCTTACATCTACTGAGCGTTCACAGTGTGTCCAGACAATCTGCTTATGGCTTTATGAAGACTACCACAATGTCCTTTGGAGGTAGGTCCTGTTGTGCTCATTTTACAGATGAGAAAACCTAGGCGCAGAGATGAGTTAAGTTACCCTAGATCACCTGGCTAGTGACAGAGGCAAGTGTCCGAGCCTGAGTCTCCCCACTCCAGAATGCAGGTCATAACCTCTAAAGGAACACAGAAAGTTTGTCCAAGGTATACATTGGCTGAAATGCAATTTAATGTTTATTGAGTGTCTATGGCACACTGGTTCCTGTCCTGGCACTGTGAATACACAAATGAAAGAATCAGGTCTCTGCCCTTGAAATTTTCTAAGGAGGGGTGGGGGCGAGAGCTCAGGCAAGCACACAATTTATTAGAATGCAGGAGGAAATGAAAGTGTCGTTAAGAGGCATGATGTGCTACACAGGTTCCTGGAGGGAGCATGTACCATCAGGTGGCATGGA